TCTTGGAGCAGCCGTTTTGGGACAGCGCTAATTGGTAGGAAGTCTCTCCTCACATCAAGACTAAATCTGCCTCTTTTCCATTTCCACCCATTGTTCTTAGATCTGTTCTCTGGGGTGAGAAAGAACAAATCTCTTCTGTCTGCCACTTAAAAATCCTTTAAATAGTGGTCAGCTCTGGAGTCCCTCCCCCTCCCCCCCAAGTCTTCTCTCTGACTCAAAATGGAGCCATTTCCTTCCAATGATCCTTATATGGCATGATCCCAAGGCCCTTCACCATGCTGGTGGACCCCATCCAGCTTATCATTGCCCTTCCTATATGGTGTTAGTTGCCCCCACCCCGCCTGCTCCCTGTGCTTCTCTGGGATGGCTAAGAGTTGACTCTGTCTATAATTTAGGAGGGGATATTTTTATGACCCGCAGCTGTGTTCCCAGCTCACTTTCCCTCCTATAAGCCCATGCTAGGCTCATACGATTAGAGCTGGACACAATCCAGTTCAACCCTCATGTTTTTTCTTACAAGTGAAAAAAGGAGTCCCAGAGAGGGGAAGGGGCTTGCTAAAAATGGTCATAAAGTTAATAGAATGGCCAACAGGTCCTCTGACACCACCCCTGACACTCTTTCCTTTAAATGCTGCTATTATTCTGTTTCCTACTTTATGAGCCTCTGGGGTCAAATCTGTGCCTAATTTTAAGGACCAGACTCTGTGTAGGGATTGCCTGGGAAGAGAGGGTAGCTTGGATGATAACAGAACTCCTGCCCTTCAGAGCAGCCAAGGTAAAGGACCCAAGTTCAGTCCCTGCCTTGCTACTCCTTTTCCCTGCTTTGTTCTTCAGTTTCCATTCAATACTGTTTTTAAATCAGAAAGATAGAAGAATCTAGCTCTCTGGGGAGGGAAGAAGGAGGTCTATATTTTGAAACAGGTGAATAAAACTAAAAGATTGCAATAAAAAATTTTTTAAATGACTTTGTAAACATTTTGCAGTTCTTTCTCTTGTCTATGACATATTCTCCTAGCTCCCAGGAGAATGTAAACTCCCTGAAGGCAAGACTTTTAGTTTTTGTCTTTGTTTCATCATCCTAGTGGATACAACCTCTTGCAAATAGGAATTAAGCATTTTCCTGTTTATTGAACTGAATTTATCCCTTCACTGTGCTAGGTAATGTGAAGAAAAGGGAGAAAGTGTAAGATCCAGCCTTCTAAAGGCACAGTTAAGTAAGACAAACACATAGGAATCAGCGAATCTAAATGCAAAGCAATAGAGACTTAATCAAGCACTAAATTGTGTGGTGAAAGTGAGAGAATGTAGAGGGAGTTTCCAGACTAATGAGAACTGGGCTTGGCTGTTGGGTGGGACTTGACCGAAATCTGAAGAGCGGATGGACAGGCAGGAGGAGGAAGGACATTCCAGCCGGCACCCATATGTAGGAAGGCCCAATGGTTGGAGCTGGCATAGTAGGCAGCTCCGAGGAGTAGCCTGAAAGGGGAGGAGCTGTCTAGGAATGGCAGATGAAATCAGAATGGTAGAGGAGGGCCAAGTTTTGAAGTATTTGACAGCCAGAGAGAGGAATTTAGGCTTGAAGGGGGAGGAAGAAGGAGACTTTGAAGGAGTAGAATGAGGAAAGCAACGTTTAAGGAATAGTATCAGCTGACATTTACAGAGTTCCTCAAAATTTAAAATGCACCTTCCATATATACCTTTTGCCACTGGAGCCTCAGAACGAACCTGGAAGGTAGATACTACAGACATTTTGCAGATGGGAAAGAGACCCAGGGTGGTTAAATGTTTTGCATAGCTAATAAGGGTCAGAGGTGGGATGTGATGCCAGGTCTCTCCTCACACTCTTTCTATTACTCCACAGCACCTCATCGCACCTTCACTGACCCTTCCTGTGAGAGGATGAACAAGATTCAGACCCACTTGTGAACAGGAGCAGCAGCTTTCCCTCAGAGATATCCCAGATGTCATCCTAGACTCTTCATTCTCTCTCACTTCTCCTCTATTGCCAAGTCCTGTCCCATTCTACCTGCCCCACATCTCTCTCTCGTACACCCTGCCCCCACCCCTTCTCCCCTCTGACACTGCCACCACCCTGGCACAGCTCTGAATCACTCCATGCCTTGTAATAGCTTCCTGGTTTGTCTCCCTGTATCTCCAACCCATCTTATCCTCAGCTGTCAAAGATGACCCTTCCAAAGGCCAGGTCTGACCTAGTCACTCTCCTGTTAAGTAAATTCCAGTCCCCCCCTTATTGCCTCTAGGATCAAATATAAAACTTCGTTTGGCTTTCAAAGTCCTTCATAACATGCCCCCTTCCTACTTTCCCAGTCTTTCTGTACCTTATCTTCTTCACATAATATGTGATATAAGTGATGCCTGCTTCCTTGCCGGGTCCTCACACAAGACTCCGCCTCCTCTGCATTTTCCTTGGCTGTTCTCCACGTCTGGAAAAGTCTCCCTTCTGTCTCTGCCTCTAGACTTCCCTGGCTTCCTTCCAGTCTTACCTAAAGTCCTACCTTCTGTTTTTCTCAGTCCTTCTTAACATTAGTTCTTTCTCTCTGAGGTTATTCCAATTTATCCTTTATATATTTTGTTTCTACTCAGTTGTTTGCACCCTGCCTCCTCCGCTCTCCATTAGATTGTGAGCTCCTTGAGGGTTGAGACCATGTTTTTGCTGTCTTTGTATCCCCAGCTCTTAGCACAGTTCCTGGCACATAGTGGGTTCTTAATAAATGCTTATTGACTATAATTATTTTCCATTACCTTGCATATATCCTGTATGTACCTAGTTAATTCTTGTTTGTCTTTCACATTAGAATGTAAGTTCCCTGAGGGCCAGAACTATTCTTTTTCTTTCTCTGTATACCTAGGACAAGCACAGTGCCTGGCACATAGGAAGTCCTTAATAAATGCTTGTTGACTAGACCAGAAGCAGGGGAATAATCCTGCCTGTAGGACTCTGACCTTGTCTCACGACTAATATCTTTGATTCTCCCTCTGGCTCCTTGAGTATCAAGTACTCTTCCTTCTCCCAGGTCTCCTCCCTTTACCCGGTTGTTGGACCAGCACAACTTTGTTCAAGGGTCCTGACCTCTGCCTTTTTCTCCGAATCCCCCATTTCCTGCCCCAGCCCCCCTCTCTGACACCATCTTCCTGTTCTATTTCCTCTTCCTGCCTCCCCGTCCCCTAGAGACAGAGCCATCCAAGCCCTCAACCTCAGAGTCACCACCACATCCATATCTCTACCCATCCTGTCCTCCGAAGCAGTCTTTAAAAAGTCCAGACGATTTCCTGGCAGGCACAATACTCTCTATGGAGCACTCTTTGGGGAATGGGAAGGAGGGTTGGTATCCTGGTGAGAATTGTCAGTGTCCCAGTAACAGGGTTTCAGCTCAAGAGTACAAGCCAAGAAGGCGGTCTGGGGAATTTGGGGTCAAAGTGGAGGGACATTTCAACAAAGTGTTTGTGAGCTGGAAGTGTTTTCAGTATCTCAGCAACCTCAGTGGGATCTCTTTATCCCCTTCCTTGCCATTTCTGGCTCTCATTCTAAACTGAACAAACCTCTTAGTAAGAGGCAGCTCCATCCTCCCAGAAGAGGGTTACGGGTGGGTAGTGGGGAAGGGCAGGAGACAGAGCCAAAGGACCTTAGCACTTGTATGACCTTGAACAAGTAAACTACTTAGCCTCCCTGAACCTGAGTTTCCTCATTTGTTAAGATGAGTAGAATATTATTACCTGCCTCCACCCCTGTCCCTGTTCCACAGGATTGTTGTGAAAATCAAATGGAAGGAAACAAGCATTGATCAAAATGCCTACTATGTGCCAGGCACTATGTGCTAAGTGCTTGAAAATATTATCTCACTTGACCCTCACAAGAGTAGGTGCCATTGTTAATCCCACTTTACAGCTAAGGAAACTGGGGCAGATAGAGGTTAAGTGATTTAAATGGAATTAAGTATGAAAAATGTTGTATAAATATAAATTACTGCTATATCAAGGAGCTCTGATTCCTTTGGTGACAAAGTCTGTTACAGTAACTTTGGGGTCCGGACAACCTGAGCTCTGCTTTGTACTAGCTGAGCAACTTTGGACAAGTCACTTCAAACCTCTCTTGGCCTTGATTTTTTATTCTGTAAAATAAGGGAGTGGGATTAGATGCCTTTAAGGTCCCTTAGCACACTAACTCCCTCCACCTATGCAGAGAGCAACCAGCTTTAGTGATTCCATGTTACCACACACCTACTAAATGTCAGAGGCTAGAATCTGAATCCAGACCTTCCTGGCTCTAGGCCCAGTGCTCTAACCACTATACCTTGTTACATACACAGTAAGTGCTCAATAAATGCTTGTTGCTTTGCCTTGACTTGGCTGCCTATTGATAACGATAATCGGTGACTGCTCAGATAATCTCTCCGGTTTTCCTTGGGATTTTCCTCTGGCTAACCCCTACTTCGCTCCAGTGCTTACCCACTGCTCTGCCCCGTTCCTACCCCCCAACACCACCATGGTTCCTTCAAGTCTTCATTGCTCTCTGGAGGTCCCTCCCCTCCTCCTTCCCTTTCCTCTATGCACCTCATTCCCTGATCAGTTGGGGCAAGATAACCTCCTCGAACTCGCCAATACTGTGGATTCCGGGGCTCTGGAGGAGGGCTAGGTGGGGCAGTGAGTACAATTTCTGCGCGGGACGCCTGGGTCCCATTATACTCTGCGTGGGTCTGGGAAAGTCCCCTGGCTCCTCTTGAAAAGCGATCCTTCCTGCCTCCTCCCCCTCTATGCCCACTCCCCGCCACGGGCGGCCAAGGTCTCCCAGAGAGCGCGCATGCCAGCGTGGTCTCACCTGTGCCCGTCGATCAGCCCGGCTCCCCTCTGCCTGGGGGTGGGAGGTGGGGGCCCAGCCCGCCCCACTCATGCAGAGCACTTTCCGCTCTGGGACCTCCCCTCCCCTGGCCCATCCCGCAGCTGTCTGCCCTCTCTCCAGCCCTTAACCGAGACCCTCTCACCATCCTGCAGCTGTCCTCTCCGCTCGTTAGCGTTCCAGTTGTGTGTCTCGCCGGCCGGGAGGTGCCTGGGGCAGCACAGGCAGGCTTGGGGGGCGGGGGGGATTAGATACACACTGGGAGGAAGGAGGGAAGAGGCGGAGCCAGGATCAGAAAGGGGGGCACCTCCTGGGCCGGGCGGGTGGCAGGGCTGAGCGAAGCATGACTCCTGGCAGCCCCTGGGCTGGGGCAGGCAAAGGTGACGAGGCGAGGCAGGGAGGCGCTTTGACCGCGCAAGAGACTAAAGCGAAATCGAAAGTCCCCCGAGGGTTGCGGAGTGCTCCCCGATTTGTTTGCTCCCCTCCCCGGATGGACTTCAGCCTTCCAGTCTTCATTGCAGCCTCCTTCCAAGAAGCAAAAAAGAGCAAGACGAGCCAATGACCGGACTGGACGTTTGGACTTTGCTGGGTGCAGGGCAAGAGCAGGGTCTGTCGTCCCGCACCCTGACTAGACATGTTTTTACCCCATGGTGGCCAGAGCTGCGGGATCACGACAAACTGAACTGAGTGGCTGCCTCCCTATTGCCCTTAGAATCAAAGACAAAAGTCTTTTGTTGGACAAGTAAAGCCTACCTCTCCCGGCCGATCTATTACATGTCCGTATCATTCCTCTCTCCACATTCTAAGGTTCAGCCTTATACACTGGCCTTACACACGACATTCCACCTCCCATCTCCATCGATGCATTTTCGGAGATAGAGGCTGTCCCGTTTTGACTGAAAGACTCTCCTTCCTCACTTTCTGGCTCTTTGGGATCTCCTTTCCAAGCCGAGCCTAAAGGCCACCTCCTACAAGACGCCCTTTATTTACCCACTATTTAGAGACAGGTGTATCTGTTCATTTCTCTGATAAGCTCCTAGAAGGGAAGGTCCGTTTGGGTATCTCTGTGCCCAGCACTAGTGCCTAGTATACAGTAGGCATTTAATAAATACTTGTTGATTGATTGGTTCCACAGGAAGGCAACAGATTGGTGGTGGGCAGGGGAGCCTCAGAATACCATGTCATTTGAGGAAGAGTTGAAGGAAGTGGGGGCGTTGACTTGGAAAAGGGAAGACTTGGAGAGGCAGCCCTGGTCAGAAAGCCTTGGGCCAAAATCCTTCCCCTGACACATTCTAGTTGTGGGACTCCAGGCACCTCTCAGTGCCACTGGCACTCTTGAACAAGACTACTACATATTAGAGAGCAGGTGAGGACCTGCATGGATGGATAGTAGGATGGCTTTCCTCACTCAACATCCTGAAAGTAGTGAGTTCCCTGTGAAAGGAAGAGTTCAAGTAGAAGCTGGATGACCTGTTATTCCTGGCCATGTATAGAGGATTTGTGTTTCAGGTAGGAGGTTGCAGTAGGCAATCTTCAACATACTGCCCACCTCTGGGATTCTGACCCAGGGTTCCTAGGTGGGGGTTTGGTCCTTCTACCCCTATTGCCAGAGTGGAACCCAAGCTATGCCTCAGTTTTTCTGCCTGTGTAATGCGGACATGACAAAGAGGATAATATGGGTGAGGGCCTTAGGAAGCTGTGAGCCTGGAGAAGGATTTCAACGAGCAATCTCTTCTCCAGGCTAGAGATCACCAGTTCAACCAATATTCATAAGACTCAGACATTCGATCTCCTGGGAGGATCTGTTGTGATAATGCCTTGTGATTTTGTCAGTATGAGGAACCCCCAGGACATATTCACTCCAGAGGCAGATTGGCCTTGCAACAATAATTCATAGTCTTCAAAGTGTGGCCTAGGGCACTGACTAAGTGATTTGTCCTTGTTACCAGAGAGTAGGGGTCAGAGGCAGGGCTTGAACCCAGGGGTTCCTGACTGCAAGTTGATGCCCTTCCTCCTTTTGCAAGATGGGACACTGCTGGTGTGGAATATTGCATACACTGTGAGATTCAGTCAGTAGATTAGTTGGTTTTGCTCAATTGGGTTTTTTTTTCCTTTGTTGACATAAGAGAAGGCTCTGTGTGTGTGTGTGTGTGTGTGTTGGATATGACTTTGGCTAGGTGGCTCTGTGGATAGAGTCTTAGGCCTGGAGTCAGGGAGATCTGAGTTCAGATCCAGCTCCAGACACCATTAGCCGGGCAAGTCACTTAACCTCAGTTTCCTCATCTGTAAAAATGAGTTGAAGAAGGAAATGGCAAATCACTGTAGTATGTCTGCCAAGAAAACTGCAAATGGGGTCACGGATTGTTGAACATGATTGAAATGACTGAACAACAAAAAGGTGGGTCAGTGGACAGAGTGATGGGCCTGGAGTCAGAAGGAGCTCAGTTCAAATCCAGCCTCAGACCCTCACCAGCAAGTCACTTCATATGTGTTTGCCTTAATCCACTGGAGAAGGAAATGGCCAGCCACTCCAGAATCTTTGCCAAGAACACCCCAAGGACAATATCGGTGTGCTATGATCCATGGGGTCATGAAGAGTTGGACACACCTGAATAACAAACAACCATGAAAACAAAAGAATTAATTTTTTTTGTTTTGTTTTTTGCTGAGGCAATTGGGGTTAAATGACTTGCCCAGGGTCACACAGCTAGTAAGTGTCAAGTGTCTGAGGGCAGATTTGAACTCAGGTCCTCCTTACTCCAAGGCTGGAGCTCTATCCACTGTGCCACCTAGCTGCCCCAAGAATTGATTTTTAAAAAGTGGTTGGTGGTGTTATTCAGCCATTTCGGCAGTCTGACTCTTCATGACCCCATCTGCAGTTTTCTTGACAAAGATGCTAAGGAGGTTTGCCATTTCTTCTCCAGTTCATTTGACACATGAGGAAACTGAGGCAAACAGTGTGAAGTGACTTGCTCAGGGTCACACACTTAAAAAGTGGTTCCCAGAACTAAAAACAGTACTCCTAGTATGGTTGGAGCAGGACAGAGCACAGCCCCCCCAGTTCTGGACACCACTCGTTCAAGGCAGCCTCAGATTACATCAAGAGCTTTTTGAACAGCAACAATGCATTGTTGAGTCAGACTGAGGCAGTCCACTAAAAAGCCCCAGCCCCCACCCCTACCCCTCCCCCTCTCTTCCCCCTCCTCCCCAGACCTCACAGGGCTTTTGTGAAGTTAAGGCTTTGGAATACTTAAAAGTGCTACAGAAAGCTTAGCTATTATCAGATTGGGGTGGGTTCTGGACAATAACGGCATGAGACCCAAGGTTAGAGTAGGCCTGGGTCAAAGGCTCTCTGGGCTCTGCCCCAGCCCCTGGGCTGTGACTGTCTCCGAGGTCAAGCTCTCACCCTCCAAAAGAAAAATATAAATCTATACACATCCCTAAAAACACTATTGCAAGGGAGAGTGGAGAAAGCGAGACCCCATCTGGGGCTGGCTGAGGCCCTGGGAAGGGTAACAATGAGTGAGGCAACCTGGGGCGGGAGTGGGGAGGAGAGGAGGCCGAAGACACAGAAGCCATTGTCCAGAGGGAGGGCAGGAGGTAGGGGCCTGTCCTGTGACACTGACTGTACCCAGCCCTGGATGAATAGTGAAGGCAGGCTGACTGCAGCACAGGAAAGCCAAGTCCCACGGATGGAGGGGCTGAAGTCATAGCTGCTCACAGGGCACAGCGTCAGAAAGACGACCCAGGCAGGCTCTGACCCAGCACCTCAGCCCAGAGGACACAGAGACCCATTGTCCATGGCAAAGGAAGGAGGTAGGGGGCTGTGTCCCAGGAAATGGAGTGCAGCGACAGGCTGAGTGCGGAGACAACGCTCACTCCAGCTGGGGAGAAAAACCCCAGGCCTCTCTGCTGGTCCCTGCTGGAGACTGGGGAGCAAAGGCAGAGACAGAGCCCCAGCTAGAGAACGGGGGCTCGCCTGAGTCTCAGGCCAGGGGAGGAATAAAAATAATAATATTAATGTTGTTGAGTCATTTTCAATTGCGTCCAACTCTCTGTGACCCCATTTGGGGTTTTCTTGGCCAAGACACTGGAATGGTTTGCCATGTCCTTCTCCAGCTTATTTTACAGATGAGGAAACTGAGGCATACTGGGTTAAGTGACTTGTCCAGGGTCACACAGCTAGTAAGCGTCAAGTGTCTGGTCTGAGACCGAATTTGAACTCAGGTCCTCCTGACTGCAGGCTTGGTGCTCTATTCACTACACCGCCACCTAGCTGCCCAGCAAGGTAAATTTTTAAGGGTGTCCAAACATCCCCATGAACTTGAGAGAAAAAATCCTACAGCTTCTGCTTTCAACCCAGCAGTGGTATTAGGGTTCAGATTGCTGGATTTTGAGTGAGGAACTGGGTTCAGATCCTGCTTCTATCACTTACTTAACTGTGTGACTTCGGACAAAACCCTTCATTGCTCTGGGCCTGTTTCCTCATCTGTAAAATGAGGCTTTCACTCCTTCCCCTGTTAATTCTATGAGCCTATGGCCCTAAAGAAACAGAATGCAGCAGAATGGAGGAAGAGCTGGCCCCACAGCCAGAAGGACCTGGGTTCAAATCCCACCCCTGACCTCACACACTGGCTGTATGACCCTGAGTAAGGACTGTTCTTCTTGTTCAGTCCTTTCTGGCTCTTTGTGGTCCTGTAGACCATAGCATGCCCATATGGGCCGTGGGGTTTTCTTGGCAAAGATAATGGAGCAGTTTGCCACTTCCTTCCCTAGTGGATTAAGGCAAACAGAGATTGATTGACTTGCCCAAGGTCACACAGCTAGGGAGTGTCTGAAGCCAGATGTGAACTCAGGCCTTCCTGACTCCAGGCGCAGCACTCTAGCCACCGCACTACCTAGCTGTCTCTCTAAGGAATAAGACAATTTTTTTTTGTGAGGCAATTGGGGTTATGTGACTAGCCCAATGTCACACAGCTAGTGAGTGTTATGTGTCTGAGGCTGGATTTGAACTCGGGTCCTCCTGACTCCAAGGCCAGAGCTCTATTCACTGTGCCACCTAGCTGTCCCGTATTTAGCTTTTTGTTGTTGTTTTGTTTTCACTTTTAAGACAAAGGTTTTTAACCCAGGGTCTGGAGGACCCTGTAGATAGATTTTGGAGGCCCATGAACTTGGATGGGGAAAAAATAACATCTTTATTTCAATATAATTTGTTTTCTTCTCAATTCTATGTATTTTATTTTATATACACAAGAACATCATTCTGAGAAGGCTTTGCCAGATTGCCCAAGGGGTCTGGGACACAGATAATGTTAAGAACTCCTGTTTTTAGATTATAAGTTACAGAGAAAGCAGCAACCTGCATTGGTGAAGGGAGTTTCCTCCCCAGCAACTTCTCTTTACCAATGAAAGGACAGGTCTGGGCCCTATCCTCAGGACCCTGGGTGGATTAAGACAAAGATGTAAGAACGAGAAGCTTCTGGGGAAGAACCCTAGTCCTGAGCATTTCAGAAAGCCAGATGTAACCTGGTTTTGGACCTAGGCTAACACTTCCTATAAAAGTGTCAGTGCCCTGGAAGAAAACCAAACATAGGTGGGAAAGGTTGACACACACAGGATCCCAAGATCCCCCTTCACTTCAGATCCTTGGGTGGGTTGCTTGGTTGTCTTCCTTCATTCTCAGAGGACCAAAATGACATCACTCCCTTGGAGCCAAGGTATGGTGTCTCTGACTGTGGCTGATCAGATAAGACCAGTGGGTACAGGACACTCTGTGGTTGGGGGTGGGAGGGTCAAGCTGAGGAGATGGGTTTGGGTCAGGTGCCCTTAGAAGAGCCCCTTGGACTCTTGAATGTTCTGAGCCTCCAGGCCACCAAGAATTGTTGACCTTGGGATTTTCAGGTGTGTAAAGACATGGGGCAGTGAGTCAATTTCTAAGTACCAGGGGATATAAAACTATAGTTCCTGCCCTCAAGGAGTTGACATTCTAAAAGAAATGAAGAGGGTTCAGTCTCCTCATCCAGTAGAATGTAAGCTTCTTGAGGGCAGGCACATCACATTTTCTCATCTTTGCCTCTCCAATGCCTTGAGGCATCCTGGAGGAGTGGGTAGAGGACTGGGTCTGAGTTAATTAACAACAAGCATTTATTAAGTCCTTGCTACATACCAGGCACTGTGCTAAGTACCAGGACACAAGGAAAGGCAAAAAGAGTCTCTGGCCTTCAAGGAATTCCCATTCTAATAGGGAGACTAGTTACATACAAGACCCAAGTTCAAGATCTGATATATCCTAGCCGGGTGACTCTAGCCAAGTCACCTAGCTTCTCCCAGGTGATTCTCAAAACCCCAAAGTTCAGGGACAACTGTTGATCTGCCCTGATGGGGGTAGGAAGTCACACATCCTTTCCCAGCCTCCCAAACAAAAGCCCACGACTGGCAGGCACCAAATAAATGCTGATTGAATCGATTCTACCTAGCTCAAAAAAATTCTTGTAAGCAGAATCCTGTGGAAACCTTCAATCCTAATACAAACGGGAGTTATTCCCATATCAAGGGTAGGGAATACTGATTGGACTTGTGATTTCTTTTTTGGCAAGGCAATCAGAGTTAAGTGACTTGTCCAGGGTCACACAGTTCAATATTTGAGGCTGGATTTGAACTCAGGTCCTCCTGACTCCAAGGGCCAGTGCTCTATCCACAGAGCCACCACTGTCCCTGGAGACGTGTGAATTCACTGGTACAGGGAACTCCCAGGTGAGGAAAGTCCCTTTACCAATGCAGGTTGGCACTTTCTCTGCAGTTTATAGCCACGGAGAGCTGCCTGGATCATTAGAAGTGTGGTGCCTCCTTGCTCAGGGTCAGACCCCCAGGATGTTGGACCCGGGTCTTCCTGGTTCTCTATCCACTAGGAAACACTGAATCGCTTGACTTAGAAGCTTTCCCAATTTCTGACTGTCAGGCTAATCCCCAAGACAGAACCACAGCACGGCTAAAGAAGGATCTCAGGAATGACCAAGCACCCAAAGCAAAGGGGGCAAAAAAAGGCCTTGGGGCAGGGAGGAGACTGTCCACACATAACAGGACGCTGAAAGGTCTTTATTACCTACAGGTCACCAGCAGCATTCCAGGGGACACAGACCAGCTGGCACATGCAGAGGGCCCCTGAAACTCAGCCACAGTCCAGTGCCTTGGGGCCCCGAAGGTCTACCCTCCCTCTCTTCCCTTCCCCATGCATAAGTAGTACCGGGTGGGGCTGAGCAGGACAGAGGGCCCACAGATAAGGACCTACGAGGTGGCTGGGCAGCATTCCACTTAGGGGAGGGAGAGAAGAGGAAAGGGGGCTGTCCCAGGGAGGAGGAGGAAGAGGAGGAGGAGGCAGAGATTGGTGTGGAGGCTGAGGGAGGTCAGAGGAAGGAAGGCACTAAAGCCCTCTAGATTGTGTTAGTGGCAAAGAGGATGATCAGGATGATGATGACGGCCACGACCACACAGATGATAATGATCATTTTCACATTTTTCCACCAGAATTTCCGGGCCACCTTCTGCGACGTGGTCTTGAAGTGTTCTGACTGTGGGGGGGAGACGGAGCAAAAATGAATGACGGCTCCCGGGGGAGCCTCTGCCTCCTAGAGCCAGGGGCAGGGGTGGAGGTCAAGGGTCTCCTCCAGACTGCTTTGCCTCATCACCCCCCAAACTGCAGCTGGAGAAATACAGGCTCTCTGGGACTTCCCATTCCCACATTGCTGACCAGGAAGAGGCCAGGGAGGCAAAGACTGCCCACTGTTGTCTTTCCCCATAATCAGAGACCTGCCACAGGCCTGGCTTTTGGTCTAGGCCATGCAGTCTGAGGCCCAGGACTTCACTGGACTTTGTTCAGTGAGGGATTTACTGCAAGAAAAGAGATTCAGCTGAGGTCAAGTGAGACTAAGTATAGAAGGCCACAGCTTTCAGCTGGGTGTGAGGACCCTGGAGCTCTTTTCATCTTCTCCCTGGGTTCTCTTTCAGGCCATCAGCAGTACTGGAAAAGCCCTCCAGAGGGGTGGGCTTGTACAGAAAGCCTCCTATAAAGGGCTCCCAAGAGACAGAGGAACACATAGTGTGGCTGGCCCTCCTAACACATCGCTGAGGTTTTTATATGGGTGAAGCCAGGTTCAAATGAACATTAAAATTCATCTTGAAAGGGAGGAAAATATCACGAAAGAGCAACTTAAAAGATTCATTTGTGGATGGGAAAGAGGCAGTCATACTCCATCGTCCCTGACAGAGAGGACAGGGTTCATGGGTTGACTGTACAAGAGCCTCAGGGTTGCTATGGCACCAACTGGTAAAGTCACTCCTTTGCCTGACATCTGGCAGCCTTCTTGAGTCATCCCTGACAACTGGCCCAGAGGTGACCACCCTCATTCATGGTATCCTAGGGATCTCCTTCTGTGAGGGCTTAGAACTGATCCATGTGGGAAGCCAAGGCCCAAGTCTGGCAGGATAGGGAGAAAGGTAGCAGACAGTTCTCTCGCGCTCTGTCTCTCCCTTCCCTGCCCTCTCCCTTTCTCTCTTCTCTCTCCTCTCCCTCTCCCTTTCTGCCTCTTTGTCTCAAGAGATTCTTTTTCTCTCTTCCTCTTCTTCTCTCTCTCTCTCTCTCTCTGTCTCTCCCTTCTCTCCCTCCTCTGTCTCTTCTTTTTCTCTCTTCCTCTTCTTCTCTCTCTGCCTTTTCTTCCTCCTCTCTTTGTCTCTTCTTTTTCTCTCTTCCTCTCTCTGTCTCTCCCTTCCTTCCCTCCTTTTCTCTGTCTCTTTTTCTCTCTTCCTCTCTCTCCTTTTTCTTCCTCCTCTCTCTCTGCCTGTCTGTCTCTTCTTTTTCTCTTCCTCTTCCTCTCTCTACCTCTCACTTCCCTCCCTCCTTCTCTCTCTTTTTTCTCTCTTCTCTCTCTCTCTCTCTGTCTCTCCCTTCCCTCCCTCCTTCTCTCTCTTCTTTTTCTCTCTTCCTCTCTCTCTCTGTGTCTCTCCCTTTCCTCCCTCCTTCTCTCTCTTCTTTTTCTCTCTTCCTCTCTTTCTGTCTCTCCCTTCCCTCTCTCTCCCTCCTCTGTCTCTTCTTTTTCTCTTCCTCTCCCTCTCTCTACCTCTCACTTCCCTCCCTCCTTCTTTGTCTCTTCTTTTTCTCTCTTCCTCTCTTTCTCTCTCTGTCTCTCCCTTTCCTCCCTCCTTCTCTCTCTTCTTTTTCTCTCTTCCTCTCTCTCTCTCTCCCTTCCCTCCCTCCTTCTCTCTCTTCTTTTTCTCTCTTCCTCTTTTTCTGTCTCTCTTTCTGTCTCTCCCTTCCCTCTCTCTCCCTCCTCTGTCTCTTCTTTTTCTCTTCCTCTCCCTCTCTCTACCTCTCACTTCCCTCCCTCCTTCTCTGTCTCTTCTTTTTCTTTCTTCCTTTTTCTCTGTCTCTCCCTTTCCTTCCTCCTTCTCTGTCTCTTCTTTTTCTCTCTTCCTCTCTCTCCTTTTTCTTCCTCCTCTCTCTCTGCCTGTCTGTCTCTTCTTTTTCTCTCTTCCTCTTTTTCTGTCTCTCTTTCTGTCTCTCCCTTCCCTCTCTCTGCCTCTTTGTCTCTTCTTTTTCTCTTCCTCTACCTCTCACTTCCCTTCCTCCTGTCTCTCTTTCTGTCTCTCCCTTTCTCTCTGCCTCTTTGTCTCTTCTTTTTCTCTTCCTCTACCTCTCACTTCCCTTCCTCCTTCTCTCTCTTCTTTTTCTCTCTTCCTCTCTTTCTCTCTCTGTCTCTCCCTTCCCTCCCTCCTTCTCTCTCTTCTTTTTCTCTCTTCCTCTCTCTGTCTCTCCCTTCTCTCCCTCCTTCTCTCTCTTCTTTTTCTCTCTTCTCTTCTCTCTCTGTCTCTCCCTTCTCTCCCTCCTCTGTCTCTTCTTTTTCTCTTCCTCTCCCTCTCTCTATCTCTCACTTCCCTCCCTCCTTCTCTGTCTCTCCCTTCCTTCCCTCCTTTTCTCTGTCTCTTTTTCTCTCTTCCTCTCTTTCTCTCTCTGTCTCTCCCTTCCCTCCCTCCTTCTCTCTCTTCTTTTTCTCTCTTCCTCTCTTTCTCTCTCTGTCTCTCCCTTCTCTCCCTCCTCTCTCTCTTCTTTTTCTCTCTTCCTCTCTCTGTCTCTCCCTTTCCTTCCTCCTTCTCTCTCTTCTTTTTCTCTCTTCCTCTCTCTCTCTCTCTCTCTCTCTGTCTCTCCCTTTCCTCCCTCCTTCTCTCTCTTCTTTTTCTCTCTTCCTCTCTCTCTCTCTCTCTCTCTCTCTCTCTCTCTCTCTCTCTCTCTCTCTCTCTCTCTCTCTCTCTCTCTGTCTCTCCCTCTCCTCCCTCCTCTCTCTTTCTCTCTGTCCCTCCCTCTCCCCTCACCCCAGCGCCTCCCCCTTCTGTCCCTCTCTCTCCAATGTCCCCACTCCCAGCCCATCTCACTGTGGCCTCCAGGTCTTCCGTCTTGTTCCGAAGATGGTCCAGGTTTTCTCCTCGAGCCAGGATCCGCTCCACATTTTGAGTCATGATGTCCTTCACCCCCTCTACCTCACTCTGGAGGCTCCTTACCCGATCGCTCCCACCTCCACCGCTGGCTTCCTCCTGGTAGACAGCACAAGGAGTTAATAGGGCTAAGTAGAAAAGTCTCTGAAGCCTCAGAAGATGAAACCACTCTGCCCAGGGGGGGTCAGCTTCCCCAAATCCTGTAGGGGGGTCAGTGATGAGGGATGGGGGGGTACATCAGGGTCACCTTTTCCCTTTCGCATCTGCCCCTTCCATTCATTAGCTACAGCTAAGACTCTGGAGAATGGTTTCAGATCAGGAGCAACTCCTCGATGAAATAGAAAACGCCATAAATACTTCCTAGCTGTGTGATTGTAGGCAAGGTTCCTAATTTCTCAGAGTCCAGGTTTTCCCTTCTGTAAAATGGGGATAAAAATACACACACACACACACACACACACACACACACCACTTCTTTCACAGATTTCAATTAAAATCATTACAAAGATTGTGTGCCTACTACATGCAAAGCACAGTGCTAGGCACAAAAAAAAGATTAGAAAAATGAGCTACTCCCTACCCTCAAAGGAAGAGGGGGGGAAACCAGTATCCAGGTCAGTAAATACAAAGCATATAAACATAGTAGATAAGGAATGATATAAAGTTATTTCCAAAGGGAGATGGTGCTGATAACTGGGGAGAACTCATTGAGAGGCCTCAGGGAGAAAGTGGCACTGGATGTGGTGAGCACATCTCCCATCTCATCTCAGAAATCTCCCACAGGAAGAGTCCTGCCTCCATTAGATTGGAAGCTCCTTGAGGGCAGGGGTTGTCTTTTCCTTCTTTTTGTAAACCTTAGTATTTAGCAAGGTGTAACAACTTAATCAACATTTATTAAGCTCATCTTCCTGAGTTCAAATCCAGCCTCAGACACCGCCAGCTGTGTGACCCTGGGCAAGTCACTTCATTCTGTTTGCCTCAGTTTCCTCATCTATAAAATGAACTGGAGAAGGAAATGGCAAACCATTCCAGTATCTTTGCCAAGAAAACCCCAAATGGGGTCAAGGAGAGTCAGACGTGACTGACAAAGACTGAACAAGAAAAGAGGAGGTTGGGTGATTGCCTCTCTCCGTTCAGCTGGACTGTGTGTCTTGGTAGAAGTGGGTCCAGCAGCCCCAAGTCACCACCCTCCCCCACTCCTCGGCCCCCTTCCATTTTCAGCCGTTGAGCCACAAACTTCTGCTTTTTCCACCTCTACCCCCCACTGGTCCAGGGCACAGGGATGGGGGCTCAGGGCCACTGAGGAGGTTGGTGACGACAGTCAATAAAACTGTAGGGGGTCTTGGGAGACAGAGGGGGCAGTTCTTCTTGAAGTATAGCCTGTGGCTTCATGATACCCCTCATGGTATGGAACAAGCCCTGGCTTGACAGTCATGAGCTCTGGGTTCAAATTCCAGCCTTGATTCTACCAACTTTCTCACAACCTCCCAGTGAGACAGGTGCTATTATTATGCTCATTTTTACAGAGGAGGAAACTGATGCTGATAGTTAAGTGACTTACTCAGGGTCTCACACAGCTATTAAGTGTCTGAGGTCACTTCAAACTCAGATCTTCCCAGGCCTGTACTCTATCCACTATGGCTATCCACTCTAGCTGCCCCTGCTTCAGACACTAATCCTAGGCAAACAACTTTATTCTGGTCAGCCTCCATTTTTCTATATCTGTAAAGCGAGGATAAGGGTAAATAGAGTGCTGGCCCTGGCATCAGGAGGACCTGAGTTCCAATCCAGTCTCAGACATTTATCAGCTACGTGACCCTGGGCAAGTCACTTCACCCGTTTGCCTCAGTTTCCTCATCTGTAAAATGAGCTGGAGAAGGAAATGGCAAACCACTCTAGTATGTCTGCCAAAAAAACCCAAATGGGGTCACGGAAAGTCTGACACAACTGAAATGACTCAACAACAAAGTGAGAATAACAAGGATAGCTACCTTACAGGGTAAGGGTGAAAATCAAATGGAATAATGTAGATAAAGTGCTTTCTAAATAGCAAAGTGTTATATAGTATTATTATTATTGGTTAAATGTCCAGCCCTATCCCCTTTCAGCCAGAAGGGCTAAGACTTAAGTAGATACAGCTAAGGGAAAATTGTTTGAAGCTCCGATTTAAGGGACCGCCCCAAGGTCAGGAGGCTAGTAGAACAATAACTTGGTGGCTGAAGTAGCTGGAGGCTTGGAGAGATTAAGTGCTTTAAATTTAGACTTAAAGGGAAGAAGGACCCTTTCCAGATCTGTCCCTCTGTTCCCCAGAAAAGGCAACCATTCCTGGTTCCCCACCTTTCTCCCCCTCACCCCCAAAGCCTGGGTAAGTAGGGTTTGAAATCATGATATCACACACCGAACACAAGTTCGACATTTGAGGAAGCCGAGGCTGATCCCTCCAGACAGAAAGAATAATGGAGAAGGGACACTAGTTCCATCTCAACCCACTCGAGCTGCTCTCAAGCTGCTTTTCCCCCGAGCCCCAAAACGACGAGGCTTTTGCATTCATATCAAAACTGAAGGAAGGGGGCAGCTAGGTGGCACAGTGGATAGAGCACCGGCTCTGGAGTCAGGAAGACCTGAGTTCAAATCCAGCCTCAGACACTTGACACTTACTAGCTGTGTGACCCTGCGCAAAGTCACTTAACCCCCTTGCCTAGCAAAAAAACCAAAAACCAAAAAAAAAAAAAACTGAAGGAAGAAGGGGGGATGAAGCCTGCCTCCAACCCTTAGCAGCTCCATTTCTGCCCAGCTGACCCAGCAAGTCAGGGTACGCCAGAGCTCCAAGGTTGCAGCTGGGGCCCTTGGGCTTGGAGGGACCGGCCTGACGGGCTTCGGTCCCTCTCTGGGGAAGTGGGCAGCCGGGCCGGGCTCTGCTGCTCCCTGGATCGGGGAGTCCTCCTTCTACAACTCCACCCCCACAGGAACTCGGCCAAACATTCCAGGAAGAATTCCCGGCCTTTGGGGCCAGCAGGGAGGTCAGGGAAGTGAAGGCCGGCAGTGGGGAGGATGGGAGTGATCTGAGAAGGGACCGGCCATCCCCCAACTGGGACGGCCCGGAGTACTGGTCAGAGGACAGGAGCCCCTGGGGACCTTCCCCGCCTCCTCTCTGCCCTAAACCCTCCAGATGATGGATCCCCACTCTCCTCCCCCTCCCTTTTGTTCCTGACCCACCTCCCTGCCCCAGTCCCGTTCCAGGCCGCCCTCACTCACCATCTCTGCCTCCCGTCCAGCTGGGGCCCGTCAACAGCTGGGACAACAGCAGCAAAGCAACTGGCTTGGGCACTTTTCTCCCGGGTGCGCTCAGCCTACTTCCTGCTTATTCCAGCTTTCAGCCCGCCCCGAAGGCCGAGCTGCGCTGTGCGTCGGTCGGGTCTACACTGCCCTTCCCAGACTGGGCGGCTCTCTGAGGCACACCTGGATCCACAGGTTACTTGGAGGAGGAGGAGGAGGGGCAGGCTGCTTCGGGGCCTCCCTCAGCCTTTCTCTAGCGGGGCTGGAGCTTACTTAAAGAAATAGGGCTCCCTGGGCCCCTTCAAGATCCAGAGCTCAGATCCAAGGCTCCCCAGAACCTCCTAAGAACCTGGGGGGAACAAATCGAGAGCCGGCTACCTCTACAGGGGAGACGGCTCCTGCCCCCCAGGCCTTCTAGGCCCCCCCTCCAGCTTCCACCACCCGGAAAAGAGCACAGGTCATTTTTCATGGAAACATTTCCAAGTCAGAGCCGGAAGGGACATTAATGGCCATATGGGCCAGCTTTCTAAGGCCCAGATAAGCACTAGGCTCAGAACCCACTGTCTTCTCTCCCTTCCTACCCTATAATCAAAACCACGATTTTTGTTTTGGCAGATTAATATGTGGCTGTGGTGGGCTGGCAGCAGTCCCAGGAGGATAGAAACCTTGCCTTGAAAGATCTGGGTTCAAAGGAAGCCTCTGACACACTGGACAAATCATTTAATCCTTCAGAGCCCCAGGCTGGAAGGCAGGAGTTCCCCAGAAGTTGAATGGGAAAAGCCTTATAGCTTTATTTTCATTACTCTTTAACTAAAATTAATGTTTCCTTGAAATATTTAAAAACATTCTTCTGATAAGGGTTTCACCAACATGCAAAGGGGTCCGGGACACAGAAATGTGAAGGACCCCTGAGCTGAGGCTCTAAATGAAAAATAAGTTGCTCATCTGGACCCGTGGTAGGAATTTGCACTCTGATGAAATAGTATAAATTCAACATTTATTAAGCACCTACTACATGCCTAACGGCCACGGGTGGGCAACCGGAGGCCATGAGGTCACATGTGGCCCTCTAGGTCCTCAGGTGTGGCTCTTTAATTGACTCCAAACCTCACAGAACAAATTTGTGAACAAATTTTCAGCCTTGGGGCTGCAGGTTCCCCATCCCTGGAACCACTTATTAAGCACCTACTGTGTGCTAAGCATTGGAGATACAAAAACAAAAGGAAAACAGATGGGGTAACACGGATGTATGTGTATAGGTTTAGTTGGGTAGAGAGGAGAAATAGGCTTTACAAGGTAGATTTGGGTGGGATAGCAGTAGTGTAGGGAGAACCAGGAAAGATGTCATGGGGAAGATGCATCTTGAAGAAAAGCGGGATTCCAAGAGTCAGGATGTATCACAGATTTAGAGCAGGAAGGACTCTTGGAGGTCGCTGAATCCAATTCTAAATTCAAGGTCACCCAGACAGTGGCAGAGTGTGGATCTCAGACAAAAAAATAATCAAATCCGAAATCAGAAATTGACTAGGTTGTTTGTCCAAGAAATGTCTATACCTTACTCTGCTTGAGGGTCTTAAAAAAATTAAGGCATCTCTATTTTTAGTGCAGGGTAGCTGGAAAAAATAAAAACCTTGGATTAGGGAGTTCAGAGATCTGGGCTGAGCATTCACCTCAACATTCACCTCTACGCCTGGGTTTCCTCATGAGGCAAAATGGTTAGAGGTTGAAACTAGATTGTTAGTATCCTAGTGCTCAAAGACCACCTAATCTAGGCCCCTCATTTTGAGACAAGGAAACTGAAATAACCTCTAAAATAACTTCTAGTCCTAAAATTATGATTTCTGTTTCTGCAGTCTGAAGCTGGGATTTTGTGTTTGCTGGGAGCTGAGAGTGAGGAGCACCAGCTAAACAGTTAGGGACACCTCCAATGGAGGGAGGCTGCCCTGTGAGGGAGGGCAGCTTCAGATCCAAAGGACTGGAGAACAGGAATGAGGCTGGGCAGCTGCCCACACGGTGAGCCTGATGGAGCTGGAAATGGGACAGGTAGGGGGGTGGGGCGGCTCCTTGCTAGACACACCATGCTCTCTTTCTCCCTGTCTCTGTCTCTCCCACTCTTTTTCTCTCTGTCTCTGAGCTTAGAGCAGTAGCACCCTAAATGGAAGATGACAGTAATTCTGTACCTCACTCCCGGATTATACTAGGTGACAAGAAATCCTGTCAGAAACACCTTCAGAGAGTCCCCAGTGGCCAGGGAGATAGAGGCCCCAAGGGAAGGATTTTTTTTCCCCATCCCTGGCTCCCTGCCAAGGGAAAAGGCGATTCCTAGTCTTCCTAGACTTTATCTTGGTGGGAGAACAATAGCAAAAAGGCATGAAAGGTGAAGCATCCTGTCCTATCTCAGCAGAGAGAAAAAGTTCCGGGATGATTTCTGCAGCTGAGGAAAAACCACATTCCAGCCTGATGCTAAGATTAATTAGCTTTTTTCTCCCCTTTTTGTTGTCAGGACACCCAGACAGGAGAAGGTAATGACTGAGTGTGCCAACCTGCCTTTAGTTAGAATGAATGTGGTCACCCCACACTGTAGGACTTTTGACAGCTTAGTTTAAAGGGGGTGGAGTATGACAGGAAATGGCAGCTCTTCCCAACCAGAGAGGCAGCAAGCTAGAGGAGGAGAATACCAGAACAGGGATGTGAGTTACAACATGGGAGTAGAGGCCAAAGACTGCCACTGCCACTCTGGCACGTGTCCCAGTCAAGAAGACATTTGGCCTGGTCCCCAAACTCCCTGCACCCAGGCTCTGTCCCGCCAATATTATCACCCTCATCTTCCTTCAGACAGGCACTGTGCAAATGTGCAAAAAATAAAAACGTGGGCCCCTCAGAGGCTAAAGTGTAAAGCAGACGATAATGACATTGACCCCGTGTCATAAGAGACGCTTGCTAATTAAATGTGCAGAGACCTCAGCACAATAACAGGGCAGAGAGCAGGAAAAGGGAGTCAGTATTTTCATTGCTTAGTAGGGATTATTAATCCGTGTCCCAGTGAACTTGGTTTAAAAAAAATATTTTGACAACTGTATTTTAATGTAATTGGTTTCATTATAATCCTATTTTGAAAAACTGAAGCATTTAAAAACATTACCTTGAGAAAGAGCCCATAGGCTTGGCTAGATTGATTGCAAAGCGGGCCAAGACACTCTTGGAGTCTAAGAACTCTTGGAGTTTGTGCATTTCAAACATGAAAGTCTGAAGCCCACTTCTCCATGGTCAAGGAAGTTACTTCCCTCTAAAAGAAAGATCACTTTAGGACATTTGGGAAGGGAAATAAAGACTCCCGGTGGGTTTGGAGGGGAAAGTGAAGTCAATGAGAAAAGGCAGTAGATAGTATGACAACTCACAGAAGCAGCCCTGAGGATTCTGGGGTAAATGGTCAGTTTGGCTCCCAGGAGCGCAAAGGATACAAGTTTAGATAAAAGGTAGGCTTAGGAAATAGAATCTGACCAAATTTGGCCCCTCTTTTCTTCCTTATTCCCTCTTTTCCCACACCTTTCAAAATTTCCACGTGGCTGAAGATGTATTTTTCTGCCACTCTCCATTGGGAGTCAGGAGGTGGGTAGCAAGCTTCACCGCTTGTTCTCGGCTAGTTGTTGTATAGATCAGAGATCTAAAGTTTTTCAAAGTTGTTTGTCTTAATAGCATTTTCCTTATTGTGTAAACTGTCCCACTGGTAGGATCTGGTCTAGCGATATCCCCCTGACCTGCTCTTCCATGGATCCCAAGGCCTTCTAATGGCCCAGAGTAATCAAGGGCTTTGGCATAGGAGCCCCAGGTCAATCCCCTGAAGGGAGCCAAACCTCACCCTAGTCCCCAAAGTAGCCACCCTCTTTGCTCTCTGGAGATGACACAGAGATGGCCTAGAGTGGGGGCAGGGAACCCGAATGAGGCCCTCTAGGTCCTCAAGTGTGGCCCTTTGACCGAATCCAAACTTCACAGAACAAATCCTTTTATTCTTTATTTCCTCACCCCTGGCCTAGAGTCTAGGCCCTAGACCCTCCCAGGATGGATGGAATGAGCACTTGCTTTAGCAGCTTTCACCCCCGAAATCAATTGTGCTCTTTTTCATGACTAGTTTTTCCATAGGTTAATAGGATCATATTTTTAGAGCTGGAAAGAGCTGGAAAGACCTGAGAACTCACCTTGTCCTCCCTTTCATTTTAGAGAGAAGGAAACTGCATCAGGCTGCACTCCTGATTCTCTGAACCATGCCACAGAAACCTCTTCACTGGGGAAGTTCCCTCTCCCCCTGGATTTCTCACACTGGAAGTACTTTTTGCCCACAGCTTCTCCCTCACAGACTAGTTCCGTTTGGAGGAGGATGGCTAAGGCACTTATGCCTTTGATCCTCTCCAGGCCATAATCTCGAATCTCCAGACTTTCTTTACCATTCTTTACCCTGCCCCCAACTTGAGGGTACCTCCCCCCAACCTGTTATAGCTTTGTTTTATGCAGGGTCTTCCCCCAATGGACTATGAAGTCCTTGAGGGCAGGATGGATTGTCTTTCTGCTTGTCTTTGTACTCCTGGATTGGGAGATGGGTACCATTGTTAACTTGACTTGGTGACCAAAAAGGTTGACTTACCCAGAGGTACAGAAAGTGTGGGATGGGCAGTGTGTAGTAGGAGCAAGACCGTAACCCCTTATTTCATGCTAGTTAGCCTATTATACCTTAAAAGGTATTGGGAGTCGTTGAAGCTTGGCTGGCCCAGGTGCCTAAAGGCTCAGATTGTTTTTCACCCCCTGAGTACCAAGCAGTAAGGAGGACCTTGGTAGGCGACAGGAGGGTGGGTCTGACGTGCTTAGGTGACCGAGCCCGGGGTGCTTGGGTGACAGACCTCATGGGTGCTTCTCAGCTGAATCCACTCGAGGTGTCCTAAATGCCCGTCCCGTTGAATAGCCTTCTCCTGCTAAGGCTAAGCAAATCTTTGGTTGACCGTTGAACGACCTATAATGATCTCATTTTGTTCCAGTTTCCAGGGTAAACCACAGGGTACTGGCCAGAATCAGGCCCAGCCCAGGACAATGCACGGAGTCTTGTACGACTGAAGCATAGTGAGTTCATTAAAACTGGAGGCTTGGCAGTGCAGAGGAAAATGAAGGCAGGTTGGCTTTCCTCCTCCTAGTAATACCCCTAGAGAAGGTGATCTCAGTATCGTGCTCCGCACCTCTTCGGGAGATTGGGGGTAAACTGCCTGTGGTCATTCAGCGAGAACACAACTCCATTCATATGTCCTGCGTCCTTAACAGGTGAGCCTTGAAGCTAATTGCAGTAAACTGCTGGGCCTCACAGCCTAGTAATTTAAGCTTTCTCTAAGTTCTGTTTGGGAACCTCTTTAAAGCTCAGTTTTTCTTCAAAGCAGCCTGGAAGGACTGAATTTTAGAGGATGTAGAAAAAAAAAGGACAAATTCAAAAGAATCAGTTGCATTCTCCCCTTGCTGGGCCTAGATATCTGCCTTGGATTGCTGGTGATTCTAGCCCAGTTGCCTGGTGGAGGCCTTCTGGTAAAAGGTCCCTTTTACCTTGTAAGGGAGTCCTTCCTATCTGTATAAATATTTGGCTTTGTGGAATTGATAAGACAGCTGAACCCTTGGGATCTCAACAGTAGAGGAAGAAAGCCAAGGCAGATCCCTGGAATTTTAAGATTGTTGAATAGTTATAATGAAGAAACTGCTTGAGGGTTGTTGGATTTGCTTTGTTTTTGAAATTTGGAATTTGAGAGGCCGACCATGATGGGGCCACAAGGATTTTGTCATGGTTCTTCAGAGCCAACCGCTGGAGGAGATATTTGAAAGAACAATGCGAAATCCTTGCCAGGTCTCCAGAGTTCTGTTTTTTGATTGGGCATTTAGACAAACTCACCAATTGCACCACATTTAATTAGCTGAGGACAAGCAGGGGAGCTGAGTCAGCTTAAAAAGATTCCCCTCTTACCCCTGAACAGAGAACTGGGAACACTAATAGGCACTTCCTCCAGGGAGGGGCCCTGAAGAACTCGGAGCAGAGGTCTCAGGAATATTTCCCCAGCCTGAGCAGAAATAGCTACTTCTTGTATGTGAGAAATAGAGTGTGCGTGTGCTGGTACAGAGAATTCCCTGGATTTGTGACCTTTTGTGTTCTTTTGCGTCTGCCCTGGCCCCAGCCCAGGAAGACAGAGTCGGCCCCCAGAGACAGAGCTCAGTCATGGGCAACGGTTTGTATGGGGATCTGGGGAGGCAGAGTCAAGCCTGCCCTAATGGGGCAGGACCGGGCCACGTGGTGGAACCAAGGCCTTTTACAACGCTCAGTCCCAGCTGGGACATCTGGACCTCGTAGTAGCGATTGTCCTGCCCCAGCACAGGGGTGGCCATTGACCTTGGCAGAGATAGCATCAGCAAAAACACGGGTCCTAGCCTCAGTGGACCGTAGATCAATCAGTTCTGAGCAGCAACAGCAGCAGCAGCAGCCTTGTGGCCAAAGAGTGGGTGCTAGCATGGGCAGTGACAAAAGGCAGGCCACTCTAGCCAATGATTACTAGAATGTAACACTGGGTGATGCTATGCCTGCTTGCAGTCACATTTTTACATTGAGACACCTACTGCGAGCTGTAAAGCTCTGTCACTAACCACCCTCTAGATCCAGGACTCGGTCCTTCCTGGCGTTCTCTCAGATTCAGTCATTCTTTTAGGGGGTGGTTACATTGTTTGTTGTTTTTGTTAAGTTTCTGTTATAGTTTTTCTCCTTTCATAGTTCTGCGTGTCTCGGTTTTTTGGTTTTTTGGTTCTTTTTGAATCCCAGAAGTCAGGGTAGAGAAGTAATAGCCCTAAGATTACTTAAGTGATAGAGGGTCTTCTAGAACACATGCGTCAAACATAAGACCCAAGGGCTGCAGGCAGGTCCAGAGCACTCCCAAGTGGGGCCCTAAGCAGATTAAAATGTAAGTAGGAAATATTTAGCAAAATAAATAAAAATATAATAAAGCATGAATAATATTTTTCCAAGCTATGATATTTATTATTTTACAAAAAAAATTTTTTTTAGCTTTACTTTTCAACACTCACTTCTATAAGATTTTTTTTTTTTTTGGCTAGGCAATTGGGATTAAGTGACTTGCCCAGGGTCACACAGCTAGTGTCAAGTGTCTGGTCTGAGACTGGATTTGAACTCAGGTCCTCCTGATTTCAGGGCCGATGATCACTTCCATAAAATTTTGAGTTCCAAATTTTCTCCCCATCTCTCCCTTCCCCCTACCCAAAGACGGCATACAATTTGATATAGGCTCTACCTATATATTCATATTGAACCTATATTCACGTTAGTCATGTTGTAGGATAATGTTACATCTCAAAATAAAGTCCATATGCAGCCTGAAGGGATCTTTATGTACTGATTAAGGGCTCCTATTTCTGTTTGAGTATGACACTATTGTTCTAAAAGGTCTTAAGTGCCTAACCACCAAGGGGTGGGATGTGGTAGGACCAATAGCTTAATCCCTCCTTCCATGTAGTTCAGGCTAATTTTTCCTTTAAAATTATTAAGACATTTCTTGAAACTCAGGGGCTCAGGGGACTAAAGGATCAGATCGTTGGTGTCATTTCTCATCACCTGAGTACAAAGCAGCTAGGAGGACCTGAGGAGGCTTTCACATGCTTGGCTGGTGGACCTTGATGGGAGAGTGACTCAGCCGAAAGCACTCAAGGTGCTTATCCTTGCTGAATATCCACATGGCCTGGGAAAGGAGAAGGCCTGAGGTCTTTCTCACTGTCTTATTGTCTCTCATCAGATCCCAAGAGTAAAGGAGTCAAACCAAAAACGGAGCAGCTGAAGAGGCTGAGGGTAGAGGCCGACTCAGGCCTTTTAATAAATGCTTCTGGAGACACTCAACGAGTCTCCCTCCCATGCACCGCATCGTTAGCTGACTGGGACCAGTTACAGAATGTTTATGCGTGCTCCATTGTCTCTGGAAGACCCTTCCAATTACTGTCAGCCCAGCCCTCCCAGAAGCAGGCTCTCCCCCAAAGCCTCTCCATTCTTCAAGGAGATACAGTCAGGGATGCTCCCATCACTTTAAGTTCTGCCAAGGGTTCTACCCAGTGTTCTCACATCCTCACAACATCCCTGTTAGGTAAGTGCTATTATTACAAATGAGGAAACAGAGACTGAGAGAGATCAAGTGACTTATCTAGGGCCACACAGCTAGTAAGTATCTGAGACAAGCATTCAAACTCAGATCTTTCTGGTCAAGTCCAACATCTAGATGGAAACCTCTACTTATTTGGGGATTTCCTTGGCTGGGCCCCCAAACTGATAGACCTTTAGGATATCCCCCCCCCCAATCTGAATGTGAGTCCAAAGCTTGGGGACTCTCAGACCATCTTCACCTCTTTGCTTCTTGTAATAAATGGCCTTCTCATTGGCCTGTCTGCATCCACTGCCCAGGCTAATCCAGGCCAATCTAGCCTTCACACATCTGTCAAGATGACTTTTCTAAAGCTTGCCGGTCTGACTGCGTTATCTTCCCCCCCACCCCCCAAGAGCGTCAGGACTGAACAGAAACACCTTTGTCTAGTACTTAAGTCACTGGTTCCTTCCTTTCTTTCGCATTTCTTATCCTTAACTCTCCTCCAAGTATTCTACATTCAAACAACACTGTTCTGTTTGGAGTTCCTACAATGGGATATCCCAGCTCCCATCTCCATGTCTTTGCACTGGCTGTGCCTCCCCCCTGGAGTGCTCTGTCCACCATCACATCTCCCTCTTAATCTCCCTGACTTCCTTCCAGACTCAGCTCAAATCCCACCTTCAGCATGAGGTTTTTCCCAATCCCCCCCATCTGCTAGTGCCTTCCTTTCCCAAAATGCTTTCCATCTACTCCATATATATCTTGTATCTACCTACCTATTTAATGTTATCTCCCTCATCAGAATGTAAGCTCCTTGAAGGCAGGAACTGTGTTTTTCTTTCATTTGTATCCTTGGTAGTGGTATGCAGGAGGTGCTTAATCATTGCTTGTCCACTTGACTGGGCCACTTATTACAAACAGGAATTTGTTGGCAAATGTTTAACAATCAGCCTTCAAAAAATAAAAATGCAAACATAACATACTTTTAACTTAATTTGCATTATTATAATTTTTTCCATCACTTTCTTAACTCTAGACAATCACTAGGACAACAGATTCAGCCCTGATGTATAGCTTTGCCTATTTCCAACGTAAATGCTCACACTGAAAATTTTAACAATCGACTCAAGTGGACTGGAGCTGGCTACAGCAGAGCCCTGCACCTAACACTCTAAGCAGGCCCTGTTGTTTTCACTTGTCTTCGTTCCGGGCTATTCTGCCTTCAGTGGACCCCTTCCTCCTCCTCCCCCCACAATTTCATTTGAGGGGCTGTGCTATTCCCTTTGCAGGGCTGCAAACCAGTGGTTTCACAGGGTTACATGCAAAGAGGAAGCTGCCAACTCCAGGTGTCAGAATTCTTTCTCTTTCACCCTCTTTCTGCCTTCGTATCTTTGTAAGCAGCTGGGGATGGGGCGGGGTGGGGGAGTACATTGAATAGACTGCTGGACTTGGAGTCACAGAGACCCAAGTTCAAATCCCACATCAGATACTTATGAGCTATGTGATACTGGCCAGGTCACTTAACCGAGGTCTGCCTCAGTTTCCTCATCTGTAAAATGGGGATAACAATAGCCTAAACAGTTAGGTGGTACTGCGGATTGTCTGCTAGACTCCGAGTCAGGAAGACATGAGTCCAAATCACATCTCAAACACTTATTAGCTGTGTGGCTGTGGGTAAGTACCCTAGCCTCAGTTTCCCCATCTGTAAAACGGGGATAATAGCACCCCTGTTCCAGGGTTACCGTGAGGATCGAATGAGTTCGTGCACGTAAAGCACTTTGCAAACCTTAAGGTGCTGGCTATAATTCTTGTACAGCTTTCTTTTCATCTGAGATGTTCTTCTCTCCCTTTATTCTTTATTAAAATTCGACTCCAGACCCTTTCTCTGTGAATTCATTTCCCCACTCAGCTTGGTCCACCTCTTGCTCTGTGTTCACTGCCTGCTCAGATGTTGCCATGTAAGGGGTTTCCAAATTATTTGATTTGTCACAGTGCAGACTTGCGGGGCAGCATAGGCCAGACTTTGTCCTCCAAAACCGTGGTAGGAAGGCCTTCGGGGACTCTCACTGTCAATCCTGTTTAATGAAAGTTACCAAGCACAGTTACTGTTTACAGAGGACTGTTTCAGGCACTGAGGCTACGAAGCCTCACCCCCAGGAACCACCCTGGGCTCTGACAGGTGAGCTTTTGCCTCACCTTGGTCCACACCCAGCCACCACCTGGAGGCAGCTAGGCGGTACAGTGTATAGTGTGCTGGGCCTGGAATCAGAAAGATCTCAGTTCAAATCCTGCCTCAGATACTTATTAGCTGTGTGACCTTGGGTGAATCACTTAGCTGCTTTGGTTTTTTTCGACTGTGAAATGGGGATAATAATAGCACCCACCTCCCTGAGTAGTTGTGAGGCTCAATATCTGTAAAGCACTTAGCACAGTGCTTAAATTCAGTAGGCATTTAATAAATGCTTTTTTTCTGCTTTCCCTCTACCTTACTTCCCAGGCCATTCCCTTTCTACCTTCCCTCTATAGATTGTTTTCCCTCGTTAGAACGTAAGCTTCTTGAGGGCAGGGATTGCCTTGCTTGTTTATATTTGTATATCCAGTGCAAAGTTGGGCCTGCCACATAGTAAGCACTTAATAAATGCTGTATCTACCTAGATCTTGGAATCATCTGTATAGAAGTGATAATTGAACCTGTGAAAAGTTGAGGAGGTTATAAAAAAAAAGTGTCTAAAGAGAACCTCTATGGCACGGGTAAAGTTCCAGCTAAGGAGACAGACAAGAAGCAGCTGGGCTGGTAGGAGGAGAAGCAGGAAAGTGCCGTGAAAACCCAAAGTCCAAGAGGAGAAATGCCATCTAGCATCAAAGGCTGCAGAGAGGTCAAGAAGCATGAGGACCAGGAACAGGCCACTGGATCTGGCAAGTAAGAGATCATGGGTATCTTTGGAGAGAGCACTTTCAGCTGAGGGATTGCAGAGGATTTGGAAGAATCAGAGAAGAAGTGGAGACCAATGAGTGAGTGCAGGTAGCACGTTCATGGGTGGGTGATAAGGGATTGTGAGGCTAGGAATAAAGGAGAAGGAGCTTGTGGAAAACAGCTAGGATTTTGGTGAAGAATGAGGCAAGCTGTTTAACGGAAAGAGTTTGGGGGAGGTGATGGTGTGGGAGACTTTGGGAGAGCAGAGAAAGTTTGGAACAACCTCTGTGAGGAGTGGGATAAAGAATCGATTAGGAAGGGGTAAAAAGATTGCCTTGCTGCAGTGAGAGCCCAGTTGAGATTAGATGACAAATTTGAAAAAGTTCTTTGTTAAAAGGGATGGTTCTCTGGGAGAAAGGAGGGGGAGGGATTCAGGGGAAAGCTTAAATCAATTGTAAATTTTGTAAAATTTGTTATAAAAAAGCCCCTATTTTTTAATTTTTAGGGCAATTGGGGTTAAGTGACTTGCCCAGGGTCACACAGCTAGTAAGTGTCAAGTGTTTGGTTTGAGGCCGGGATTTGAACTCCGGTCTTCCTGACTTCAGGGCCAGTGCTCTATCCACTTCATCACCTAGCTGCCCCAAAACCCGGCCATTTTTTAAGATGACAAATGTGTGGTGGATGAAGTCAGTTTGGTAGCTTGACTTCCTCCCAGTCAATTCAGCCTCAGTGTGAGTGGATGAGGAGCAAGTAACACAGGATTTGGGTCCAGCCAGGCATGACTGGTCCCTGGGGCAAGGAAGCAAAGAGATTTAAGGGTCAAGGAAACTTGAGGGTGGCATTGCTTCGCTATGAGATCCAGATTGAGAAGAGAGGACAGCAATGACAGAGAAGGGGCGATAGCCTGGAAAAGTACCCAGGGGTGGAGGGACTGGAGGTTGTGATGTGGTGGGAAAAACAGGTTTGGGAGCAGTAAGGCAGAGATGTCTAGATCACGCCACCCTCTATCACAGGTGGGTGATGGCCACGTCAAGGGTATCTTCTGCTGGAACTGAAGCACAGTGGAGTACTGGGTTTGGGGACTTGAGCAGACTGAGGAAGATGGGCGGGACCAACCAGGTGTATGCTCACACCTTCTCTTGGGAAGACAGGAATTGGTGCAGAAGGTGAGACCGGGAGCCAAACACTGAACTCATTGATTTTTAAAAATATTGCCAAGGTTTGCAAAGAGCAACCAACACGATCACATTTCATTCCTTCCTTTAATAAACACTTATTAAGCGCCAGACATCGTGCTAAGCGCCGGGGATACAGAAAGAGGCAAAAGACAGTGCCTGCCCTCAGGAAGCTTACAGTCTAATTTGATCCTCACAACTACGCCGCAGGGGCCAGTGGCTGGGGAGCTCCAGGAGAAGGGGGGGAGCCAGTGGGTGACCTTGGAGTCCTCCTTTAACTGATGAAGGAGCTGAGGCTGACAGCGGCTAAATAAGCTCAAGTGTGAGCGGCTGACTCCAAGACCCCCACTCTATCTACAAACCACCTAGCTAGCCGCTGAAGCACGGGGGAAAGGAGAATGTTCTGTGGGGTCTGGCGGACCCCCACGAGTAGCCGAAGGAAGTAATGGGTAACGAGCCTGGAAAAACTAAGGATAAATTCCAAACAAAGGGGTTTGCATGTCGTCGTGAGGCACTGGGGAGCCACAGTGCCGTCTTGAGCAGGGGAAGGACTCCGTAGAGCCCAGCCTAGCCTAGCCTAAGCTAATATCCTTGACCACTAGGGGGAGCTCATTCCCGGCTGCGCCCAGAACTCGCTGGGTGACCTTCATTCAGTCCATCTGTATAATGAGGGGCTTGGCCTCGGGGAGCCTCGGGGAGCTTAGGGGCGGGGTTGCCGGAGGCCGTAAAGCGCCGACACTGAACGCCAGCTTGGGGAGGGGGGCGGAGCCCGCTCCCTGGGGCCCTTTGCGACATTCCCCGCGCTCCTCGCTTTGTGGCTCCCCCGGGGAGGGGGCGGGAGGAGAGTGGTGACGTGTCTCGGGTCTCGACGGGAAGAGGCGGAGTTCCCGGGCCTCACCCCTTATACTGCGCACGCGCGGCTCGTGGGGCTGCAGCTGCGGTTTGGGACGGCGGTGACGGCTGAGA